ACCAGCAGCGAGAAAGGCGGAAGCCTGTTTTCTGCAGGGCTCCACGTATCCTGCAGCTGCTTTCGCTTTCACCTTAACTCGACGCTGGCGTATTTTGCACCTACTCTTTCACTTTCACCTCTGGTCCTAAGAAATTTGGAAAGGGGGAGAGAGCCTTGCCTGGCTCTCCATGCTGCTCTCAAATCCTCTGAACAAATGGACAAATCTCTCCCTTCTGTGAGCCCCTCACACTTCCAGTCTGAACCTCTGCCTCTGATCCTAGTAAGGGTGTTGGGCCTTTTGCAGGTCTCTGATCCCAACAGCATCAGGCATAGCCTTTTGTCCTTTGTCACCCTACTTCACCCAACTCCTGCCTGTCCTCTGGTTCCTTTGCCTCCTACCCTGAAACCCAAATGCAAAGGCTCCATCCTCTGCATAGTGAATGGTGATGGTGACACTGCTGTCCCTTTCATCTTCCCTAATCTCCAGAGGCCTCTTTCAAGAGAGGCCTCTCGGCTGTCCATCTAGTAACTGTTTCACCTCCCAAATGACCCTTTTGCCTAACTACTGCCTTCATCTCACTGTCCTCCCTGGCTTCCCCATGTTCCCTGGCCCCCCCTTTCCCTACAGCTCTACCTTGCAAAAGGAAATCTGGTACTCTTGCCCTGGTTAAATCCTTTAGCAGCTGCTCGCTGCTCTTAGGGTCAAACCCAAGTCTTTACAGTGGCTCATGTTACCCTTCTCTTCCATCTGATCTCAGCATAGGCACCCCTCCCCTGGTAAGCCCTTCGTTGACCTACAGTACTCAGCCCCTTGTTTTCCTTAAACTTTAATTGTAGACTACTTACCTCCATTAAGGCTAATTAAAACTTCATTAGTGAAACAATCTGATTAATGGTTGTCATTCCCTGATTCTAATCTCTTGTACTTCTGTCACCCACCTAGCTCTCAAAAGGCCCTGTCTAGAGGTGAGGTCTCACCTGCCTTTTTGGAAGCTGGGAGGGATAACTCAGATCGTCCCCATCTGGAACCCTTGGCTCCACGTGCCCCATGCCACAGTGGTGTGTGCAGCTCCCCCCAGGCCCCATGCCCAGAACGGAGGCAGGCACAAAGGCAGGCTGCTTTACCAGCTCAAGCAGGAGAGCAGGAAGCTGTACTTTCAAGATGCTTAATTCAGTCATAGGTTTTTAGCAAAGCCAATCTTGCCGTATGCTCCACAAAGCACCAGGCCTGCAGTTATTAATCACGTTGTACGAACCCTAATGCCTCCCCCTCAACCCACAACCCACAAAGCAAGGCTTGCGGCAACAAAGGATTATTATGTTTTAATTGATTTTAGAGAGAAATCTTGAATTGTGGTTTCACTTATTTATGCATTAATTGGTTGCTTCTTATGTGTGCCCTGACAAGGTTGCCTTTAGTATATGCCCTGACAAGAGATCAAACCCACAACCTTGGCATATTGGGGACAATGCTCTAATCAACTGAGCTACCTGGTGAGGGCCAAAGGAGAATCTTTATTCAGGGGGAAGGGGCCCTGGGCTGGCAGTTTCAGTTACAGAGATGCTATGTCGGTAGGTACCCAGCAGGATAGCATTGATATGCTCCAGTGTCTGGTTGCTAAAGACCATGTTGAGGTGCTGTGTCCCATTAAGAGGTAGCAGGTGCACAGGCTGTGGCTGGAGGCCCTTCCAGAGGGCGCAGAGTTCACTGCTGCGTGTGGCCACAGTGTCATCGCCATCCTCATAGAGCATGTCCACGGGGTCTGTGTAGGGGAAGCCGTGGTCAAAGATGTAGGTGCGGGCAGTGGGCAGGCCCACACCATACAGACAATATACTTCTACGCCAGGTGCCGGGAGGCCGGCCAGCAGGTCACGTGACTGTAGCCACATGTACCAGCCATCCTCAAAGTACAGGTCTGCAAAGAAGCGCTGGAAGTCACGGCCTGTGTAGTTGAAGCTGGGTGTGGAGATGAACACATGGTCCTCAGGCCACCCCAGGCTGGAGGGAAACATCCAGGGGGACGTCGTTGTTATGCGCTGCTTCTGTTTCAGCTTGATACTGGACATGATTGGGATGCCCTGGTTGTCACCTGTGGACATGGAGCAAGGTAGGCAAGGAAGCCCGGCTTGGCTGCCCCCAGTCCACAACTTGCTGCCCAACCCAAGCTCAGGTGGGTGCTCAGTTCTGTCCCAGCCTAATCCAAACATTGATTCCAAGCCAGACTAGAGCAAACCTAGCAGAATTCAGTAGGTACTTAATGTGTGCTTACTAAATGTAAAGCCTCACACCTCTGTGAGGCAGAGCTGTAGGGCCTCGAAGGAGGGCAGGGAAGGTTTTCCTGAGGGTGGCTGTGTACATGCAGAAGGTGGGGACAGGCTGGTTGGCTCTCTTGGGCGAGCGTCTGCTGGCCCAGCAGTTGACGCTGCACAGAGGTCCAAACTCTGTTCCGGGAAGTATGAAAGGAGGCTGCGTCTGTATGGGACTAACTGATGTGGTCTCAAGAAGTTATCCGGCACTTGACCATGAACCCTACAGGGAAGACCGTTTGGCTGTGGCAAGCAAACAGTTAGTGCTTAATGGGTGGGAGCTGTGCTACTCCTTAGGGAAGAGGTGGAGGGGCTCCTAGGGTCCAGTCCTGGCTTTGGCAAATCTGTCTTCAGTAAGGCAGATCCCTGGGCAAAGGGGCTCCTGGGAACAGGAGGCAGCTAAAAGTTGTGTAGGTACCAGCTGAAGCCACAGGAACAAACCCAAGGCAGGAAGTCAAACTGATGGGGTTCACTTCCTTTCTGTCAAACTTTCCCTTTTTCATCACTAAGACAGATTCTGGTGGGAGCCACTCTAATGGTCTAGGCTGGGCTCACTACTCTTTGGCAAATGAAGGGCCCCTACCCCAGGGGTGGTGGACAACACCCAGGGCCTGGCATTGTAAGCAGAAGTGGGAGTGAGGGTGGGTCCACTGGCAGCTTCATGCCACCCTTCAGACCGCCTATAGGATGCAGGTGATCAGAGGCTCTCTCACCTGAGGCCAAGACCAGCAAGGGCTTGACGGAGCCACCCCAGGGAGCCCCAAGAGAGATGAAGCCATCGATGAAGCGATCCTTCCAAGACTGGGGCTGACGCAGTAAGAAATAGAGCAGGTGCAGGCAGCCAAGGCTGTGCCCAATGAGGAAGACAGGCTTCCCGTAAGCAGCATGCATCTCTTCCACCAGTCGGGAAAGCTTCTGGTAGTACTCCTCCTGCTGGTCTGTGGGGGGAGGGGTGTGGATGGGGTCAGGATGGTGGGGGTTAGGGGCTACCTGCCTGGCCCCGAGCCCACCATCCACAGAGGCACTCACTGGGCTCCAGCCGCCAGTCATAGGGGGCGGCCCGCACTGTCTCATCCCGCACATACCCGTTGTTGACCAGATTCTGTACCAGGGTGTGCATGTAACCTGTTGGGGAGGCAGCAGCATTGGGGCTCTAGCTGTGGCGCCTGCAGGCCCCCACAGTCCAGAGCCCCACCTTTCCCCCAGTACACACACCTGCCAGCTTGTTTTTGTCCAGGTACTCAACAGAGTAGGTCTTGCCAAAGCCGGGGACACGGATCTGTACACCAGGGGCGTTGGACACACGCCCAGAGCTGCGGTTGTAAACAACCCTGGGGACAGTGGGACATTCAGCTGGCCAGAAACTAAGGGGCAGGGGCAGGGTGAGGGAGCTGGGGCCAAGGGGATGGAACATACCTGGTGTTATCGATCCAGCAGTCTACCCCAAGGGGTAGAAACATATTAAAATCCATCCAGATGGTGAAGAAATCCTCTGTTTTGTGGTAGCACATCCAGTTCACCACATCTGGTTTATCCAGCTTGGCTTCCAGCTGATTCCCCATGCAGCCAGGCACTGTGAGCACTAGCCTTCACTCTGGGCTCCTCAGGTTTCCCCAGTGACCCCCACCCCAGCCTAATAGCCACCCCCCACCACTGCACTGACCAGCCTTCATCCCCCACACCCTTAACCCCCAGGGACTAAGGACAGGGTCCTCTTTCTAATCACACCCCACCCCACTTGCCTGCCCAGCAGTACAAAGCCTAGGCTTCCCTCAGGCAGGAAAAGTGCAGAGGCCAAGGCCACTGACCTCCACCCTCCCAAAGCAAACACTTAGCCTGTCTCTCCATTACTGCCGAAGTCCAAGGTGGGAACAAGGGAACCAATAGGTTTAGGAGGGTGGGGTGGGGCTGGGCCTAGGAGCAGGGGGCAGGCCTTGATGGGCCTCTCCCGCTCTCCTGAGCTAAGCATCTAGTCCTTGCTGAGGTGGGGGCTGAGGAAGGAGTGGTAGGGCTTGGACCAGGGTCCAGTGGCTACAGCTGACCACAGCCTGTAATGCCCGGACCAAGCCCTCAGGCACACACACCAGCCCCAGCGCCCCCGGCCACCTCCCCCCACCCTCAACTCCACCCACTAACTTAGAAACAGAGGAACAGTGCGGTGAGGGAAAAGGGTTGACTTCTCTGCAAGATAAGCCTCTGGCCCCTCCGAACGCTGAGGCAGGTATCAGGACTAATGCAGGGACAGAAGGGCCTTGGCAGGGTTGACTACCAGGGGCTGGGGCCCAAGCTCCCCAAGGTCTGGCCTGGCACATCAGGGGCCTGGTGGGGGCTTACCGAGGATGACGGGCCGTGTGTGGTTACTGAGCTCAGCCTTGGGCGTGTTTTGCGGGGGGAACAGCACATTGAGGAGCCAGAAGGGGGTAGCAGGGGGGAGCAGCAGCCCCAGCAGCAGCAGCACCCACTGCCATGGGGAGCCAGGCGGCCCCATTCCAGCCCTAGTGCCTATTGCCTAGAGAAGCAGTCTCGGGCTGGCCTTATCTGGATGGGGGTGGGAGGGGCCCTGGGGCCAGTGGGAGGGACAGTCTGGCCAATGGGGATGGCCAGAGATTTCGGGAAAGGGGCAAAGCCTTGGAGCTGGAGCGGGCTCTGGGCCTGGGTTCAGTTCCGCCTTCTTCCTTTGGCGCCAGGGGAAACAGAGCCTGGGCAGCAGGAGGCCCAGAAGTACACAATGTTTTATTGAAAAAAGTCCGGCCTCAGCTGACTGGCTCCATTAGGCTCAGCTTGGTAGGGGTTCCTGCCCACAGTAACCTCAGCCAGCTCTTCTGCAGGCGGGCTGGGTAGGACCCCCTCCCTCGTCACCCTTTTCCTTTCTGATGGTGACATCCCAACAATAAATATTCAATAAATAGCATTCCTGGGCTGGCTGCCTTCAAACCCAATGTCAGCCCCCACCAGTCTTCTCCAGCCAGGGCTGGCCTCCAGGGGTGCTAAACGGGGAAAGTCCCCAAACTTCTCAGGGTCCTTGCAGGACCCTGGATCCATCTCCGTTGCCAGGCCCAGGCCCAATCTCCATAGCAGGGTCCAGGGTAGGATTGGGCAAAGCAGGACTGGCAGATGCATGCTGGGAGGGGGTGCTACACTGAACACCTCCAGTCTAGGCCACAAGTCTGTATCGGGCTCAGGAGTAGATAGTGATGACTTCACGGCCACCACCACGAACCAACAGCACCCGCTCCAGGCCCTCGGTCAGCACCTCCAGGAACTCCATGTCTGTAGGTCGTCAGGTCAAACAAACAGAACCAGGACCAAGGGGAACCCAGGGAAGTTTGGCCCATCAGTCAAAGCTGGGGTAATCTGGTACCCCCTGCCCAGGGGCGCCCACACTAACCTCACATGCTAGCCACCTCCCCACTGCCTGCCTCTCCACAGAAGGATACAGTTCTCATCACCCTCACTGTTCTTGGGTGGGCCAGGCATGTTCAGTAGGACCAGGCGGGCATCGTGGGAACGTGTGACAATGACTTCATTGAGCTTCACGGCAGTGTGCATGCGCCGCACATTGGACTGGTCCCTGTAGGTAATGTAGCTGATGATGGGCCCCACCCCTGGCCCATGCACAGAGCCTGTCCACCCTCCATCCCCAGGCTCCAATGTGGCTTGGTCTGTTTTTGTTGTACTCACGGCTTAATATGCACCAGTTCTCGGAAGTTCTCAGGGGCGTGGCTGGGGTCCCAGGGCTCAGCTGCCATGTACTTATCCCGTGTCCATGTCATCTGGATCTTGTCAGCCCCAGCTGCAGACTCATCCTCCTCGTCTGAGTACAGGCTCTCCAGCCTCAGGGCTGAGTGTCGGTCCTTGACCAGCTGGGCCTGAGGGAAATCAGGAGGCAGCCTCAGTGCCATGGGAACAGAGGGCTGGGCTGGCCCAACGTGACCATCTGGCCTTAGGGGCATGAGCACTGACATAGGTAGGCCTGGGGCTACTCATTCTGATGCCCCCATCTGATGGTGTTTCCAGGGGCCTGACCCAGCCACCTGCCCATGCCCTGAACAAAGGCCACTGACTTCTCGCTCCCGCTCCGTCTTGGTCAGCCTCATCTGCCGCAGCATCTGGGACCTCTGCTCCATCATCAGTGTCCGCTCGTAGGTATATGCAGAGATGTCACTGTTGTGCTGGGGAGAGTGTGGGCTGTGAGGACTGGGCTGTGTGGGGCAGGGTATCCACAGGGCCACACTGGGGCGGGTGACTCACCATCTCCACCACCTCCACCTCCGCCTCCAGGCGTAGGTGGTACAGAAAGATAGCCAGGTCCTTCTTCATCTGGATGCTGTTGTCGTCCATCTGGGCCACCGTGAAGATGCGCATCCGGCACTTCCTCCAAACCTATGGCACCGGAGCAGAAGGGTGTTACAGTCACACCCCTCCTCCCCAAAGGCCCAGCCACTCTCACCTGGGCCCATCTCCCTGGCCCACCTTGTGCTGGCGCAGCAGGAAGGGTAAAAGCATGAGCATGCCACCATCATGCACGATCCACCATACGTCGATATGACCCTCCAGGTAGCGTTCATGGTTGCTGGGGTAGAAGGCAATGTTCTTGGGCACGAGCAGGGCCAGGTGGGCAGCCGTGGTGCAGCGCACAGTGTCTGGGGAGGGAAGGAAATTGCTGACTGCCAGCCTGCAGCCCTGCTCTCACTTGAGTCCTGGCCCCTGCCCCTCATGGCTGAGCCCAGGCCCCGGCCCCTCACGCACCAATAAAGGTCTTCCAGGCACGTGGGTCCTCACTCTGTCGCCAGCCATAGGGCCAGCCCAACACCACGGAGTTATGCCTCATGCCGCCCAGGCCGCAAGACTGGATGAGGTGGGCCAGCCCCTCACGCACCTTGTTGGCCACCACCACCTGGCAAAAGCCCTTTACTTTCTCAATCTCCATCATGTTCTTGATTGTCTGTGGGGAAGATAGCAGGTTCAAGACTGTCATCATCCCCTTTGCTGGGGCTGGGGGAGGGAAGAGGCCAGCTGCTCACCCAGGGGCCACGTTTTGTAGATGGGACAGCAGCACCCATCCTTGCTCAAGTTCTAAGATGGCAGCATTGCTATCCACCTGGCTGGCCAGAATTGGTCCTCCCTCTGTGCCAGCTGCAGCGGGATACCTCTAGACCGCTCGGCTCCCCGCCCCCCGTAGCAGGTACCTGCTCAGCAGCCTGGGCCTCGCCATAGCTCTCCAGGAAGCTTCCCTGGATGACAGAACCAACAATGGTCAGGCCCTTGCCTGCCTTCAGCTGGGAGGCAAAGGTGAGGAGCCGTGGGTACTTCACATGAAGGTCCTCGTCTAGTTTCAGCAGCACCAGCAGCTGAGGCCTACAGTGCCCAGACGGGGAAGGCAGCATGAGGCCAGGGCCAGAGGTTTCCAAGGAGCCCTTTTTCTTCTTCCCTTCTCAGCTCACAGACTTGCACAGGTTTGGGGAACAGAGATCCCAGGGCTCAACAAGGAGGATGGCACCCCCGGGAACCCCAGGATGGGAAATGGGGACCAGGGAGGGGAAGCCAGCAACTCTCAACCATCCTACCCTCACAGTGCCCTCAAGAACCTAGAGTGGCCTTTGCCATTCTGGGCGTGAACTCACCGCCAGTTCTTGGTGTGAGGAGGCCCCTCCTCTAGCCGCAACAGCGCATAGCGGGCAGCACTCAGGGACAGGCCTCGGATCCCATCACCCCACTCCTTCTCAGCCCTACAGAGGCCACCATAAACTGGTGAGCCCATGGTCCCACCCAGGGGATTCTGTGCAGGTGTATGGGTGATAAAGGGGAGACTGACCCGGAGTCACAGGCCACCAGCTTCAGCACCTATGGTGGCCAGCGAAGGTTGGTTCAGCTCCTCCCCTCCCCACATACAGACCACCTGCTTGCCCTGACCAGGCAGCAACCCCTCACTCACCCTTGGTACTCAATGTACTTGTAGATCATGCCTGCAATGAGCATGGCGACCAGGGCATAGTACCAGGAGGAGACGAACATCAGGGCCAGGCAGAGGCTCATGCCCAGGAAGGACAGCGCCCTGCCCCAGAGAGTGGGGAAGAGCCAGAATCAGGGAAAGACCAGTACGGCCCCAGGCCAAGCTCCCCAGCCCCCCAATTTCTCACCAATAGCAACTGCAGCCCAGGAAACTCAAAGGTCATCCTGAATGGGGCTCCTGGCTTCCCCAATAGCTCTTATGTCAGAGGACTTGGCTCAGGGGTCCAGCAGGTGCTCACCAGTGATAGTACTTGAACCGGGGCCGCCAGTTGGGGGTCCTCAGGAGCGTTTGCACAGCACAGGCCAGGTTCACAAACAGGTAACACATCAGAAAGAACCTGCGTCACAGGGGTTGGTTGCTAGAGTGGCCTCCTTGGTGGCCAGGTACCTGATATACCTATTGTGTGTGGGCTGAGCCAGTCTTCACAACCTCACAACTCCCACGCTTGCGGCAGGCAGGACTACTGCACGGGTGTTCAGAGCCAGGGCTTAGAGGATGGGCAACTGTATGTAGGCAGAGGAGGTGGGGAGGGGACAGCAGGCAGCGGAAAGAGTGAGCACAGAGTTGTGAACAAGGACGGTGCTGAGCTGGGCTCAGTGTGTGGAGACGACTGGACAACATTCGGGCCCCCGGCCTGGGTGACCGGTTGGATTAGGAGCTGTGAGGAATGTGGGGAGGAGCAGGGAGAGAGAGGATAACAAGGGCCATTTTGTAGACAATGAATTGGAGACACTCGAGGGATATGGTGTGATGTGGCGAGGCCTGCGGTGTGAACCCTCCCGGAAGATGGCTGAGGAGCAGAGGGCTGAGGGGAGGGCCAGCAGCTTCTACCCCCAACTGGCTGGAGAATGGCAGGCAAAAACGCAGAAGGACTTATCAGAGAGGGCATGTCAGGGGGCAGGGACCCCCGTGAGGGGGAGTGGTCAGCCCCATCAGGGGTGCCAGGAGTCCATGACACAGGCTCAGATATATCCTGTGGCTTGGGCAGTGAGGGGTCACCACTCAAGACGACCAGCAAGAGCAGTTTCAAGTGCGCACTCTGCGTAGGTGGGGCTGGGCAGTGGTGCAGGGGAGGCATGTTGGAGGGACAAAAGTTCACTGTGGCCTGACTCTGGCTGGGGGGGGGGGCTGCTTTGCAGGGAGGAAGAGCCTCTCAGGCCTACAGGCTGAGTGGGCCAGTGAAGGGTGGTCCCATCATAACCAAACAAGCAAGAGGGAGCATTGGCAGTAGAGCGAAATGTGTGAAGCGTGATGGAGCGGGCCCCAACACTGGTAGGAAGTAGTGAACACAGCGACCACAGGGACCCTGGAAACTACCACATGCTGACCACCTCCTTATGTAGGGCATGGCAGGCTCAAATACGCAGCTGATTCCAGAACTTTACAGGAAAACAACTCTGAAGACAGACACATGGGGCAGTGGTGGCTTCATCAAGGTGCCGGGGCCCGGGTGCTTGCCCTGTCCAGGAGCAGAGGGTAGCCACCTGCCTGCTCTGGGCAGCTCCCAGAGCGAGCTGTTGGGCCTGATGGTCTCTTCTGCATAAGTGTCAGACTCTCTCCTGAATGCAGAGGTAGGCTGAGCTCTGCCAGGCGCACACTTCCCCATACAGCCTGACATGTCTCCCAGCTGCACCCTCAACACCAGACAGGGTCACAGGGAGGTGCTGAAGCCCCAGGCTCGGGGGGTTCAAGGAGCCTTTCCCAAAACCACCGCCCTGCTCTGGCCCCCAGCTCACATGGATAGAATGGGGGCCACCATGTCAAGGGAGGCGATGAGGATGCCCAGCTCAGCGATGAGTGCCGTCAGGAGGAGTGCCCATGTTGGTTCACCGTTTGCCTTCCCGTGGCCAAATACCTGCACACAACAGGGTCAGTGGGGTCAGAGAGGGAAGAAGCTGGTCCCACAAGCCACAGCCTGGCCTCCAGCCTACCCAAGTCCCTCCTCTGGGGCTCAGGCCACATCCATGCCTTTCCCATAGGTTCCACAGGCTTCTCTGCCCCCTACCTCTCGGGGCCTCTCTGCTCTGAGTGAGCCGCAGATTGGCCACGAGGATTCTAGGTCCCGGTCGCTCTGCCAACAGCAGGGCAGAGCCAGAGGCAGGGCAGCTCTCAGCAACAACTCATGATGGCTTTGTGGCCCTGCGGTCACTATGGGCCTCAGCAGAATATAATGCATCTGTAGCCCTTACCCTCTAGCCTGTGTGAGGGGCCGGGAGCACCCAGGCTGGGGGAGAGTACAAAAAGGCTCACCCGGAGGAAGGGGATGATGTTGTCCTTGGCAATGGCCTGCAACAGGCGTGGTGCCCCTGTGAGGCTCTGTAGACCGGCGCCACAAGTTGAGAAGAAGGACCCGATGACAATGACCCAGGGTGAAGGCCAGGCCAACGTGCCTACCACTAGGTTTCTGCTGACACCGTCACCGTACCTGCAGGGGCCAGGCTTAGGCCATGCTATATGCAAGGAGCCCCCCGAGCCCTGGATGGGGCTGCTAGAGTCAGGGATGTCGGGGGTTAGGAAGAACGGCTATGGTGGGCAGAGCTCTCACCCCTTAGCACTAAAGTCCAGTCCACCAGCCCCTATCCTTTCTCGTTCCAGCCCTATTCTGATGTCACCATTCTCTAAGAGGCAAAAGTCCCGGTGGGGCCTGACCCACCAGTGGCACACACTACCACTGGCAACCAGCAGCCTGAGGACATATGCGGGACCACGTGTTCACCACGTGTTCAAGGGGGGGCTGGTGTTGGAGTCGGCAGAAGCTGAGCCCCTGCCACAGGGAGGGGCCCAGCTCACTCACTTGTCCCGGAGTACCACGCCCTCGATGCAGGCGCCAAAGAGAACCACACTGCTGAAGTCTGCGGCAGTGTCAAGGAAAGCCAGGCCTCCACTGCCACTGCTGCCCCGACTACTTGCCCACACAGGACCCACGTGCCCCTCACACTAGCCTTAGCCAGGACCCAGCTGGGGCACCTACAGCTGAGGGGTTTGTGTTGTACACACACTTGAATGTGTGGTGAGTGTCAGGGGAAAGGTACACATGTACGCATGTGTGTGTGGTGTCTGGGCAGGACAGCTGGGGACTGAAAAGAAGGCAAGCGCCTCTCGCCCTGCTCCCTGCTGGCCCCAGGCCTGGGAAAGGATACACACAAGGGAGGTGGTAACAATGGCCAGAATGGTCCCCACCGGGATGGACTTCTGGGCGTCGCGGAGGTCACCAGAGCGATTTGAGCCAGCCATGATGCCTCCAAAACCAATGAGATTCCCTTAGAGGTCCCCCAGGAGAGCGGGCAGGGCTGGGTGGGAGGGCAGAGGGGCTTACCTGTCACAGAGGGGAAGAAGATGCCAACCAGCACGGTGAAGGATGTGGCGATGTCAGCCACCACGTACAGGGGCAGGTTCTCCTTCAGGCCAAGGGCATCTGTGGAGGGTAGCCCATGCTTCTCCACGACCTCACCCTTCTCCAGGTAGGTGCTCCACAGGTTCTCTGCAGGGGCAGCGGCATCATCATCACCACAGCCCCACCTACTTCCCTGAGTTTGGAGCAGCTCAACCAGAGGCTGCAGATGTGAGGGGCCCTGGGGGCTGAGTGGGGCAGCTTCAGCCACAGGGAAGGAGCTGTCTGGCTAGAAGCCTGACAGGCAAAGGTTGCTGAAGCCAGAGCCCTGTCTCTGCCTGCCTCCTAGACAGAAGCCCTTTATGGCTCCTGGAGGATAATCCCAGGCAGCGCCAGGAGCTGGTGGCTGGGGAGAGAGGGGCTGCCAGAACTTTCTGGGGGCTTTTGCAGGGCTGGGACGCTGGCCAAACAGGCTCTGTTCACCCGAAACCTAGCTGCCAGGAGCCAGGCTGAGAGGATAGCACTGGGCCTGGAAGGCAGCCAGACCTGCCCCCCATTTGTGAGCTGGCCACACAAGGACGGCTCTGTGATTCACTCTCCTTCCACGCTCATTCCTGCCTCCTGCTTGGCCCTTGGGTCAGGAGCAGGAGGACAGGAGTGAGGACATACCCTGGAGCATGCTGGCAGCTGCACCTGGGATGCCAGGAATCTCGGTCACATTGTTGAACAGGAAGTAGGGGTCACAGGAGTCAGCGGTAAGGTTGGAGCTGTGGCAGAAGAGGTTCCATAGCTGGGTGGCCACTGTCTCATTATCCACCATGGCTGTCTTGGCGCAGATGTCAAACTGGTCCCGGGACAGGGTCCTGTTGCCCAGCATGCACACTCTGCGGGGAGGGGGAAGTATCATCACCTGCTCAGCTGGAGGTCCCAACCTGTTTCCACCCTGCAGCCTCCAGGACTCAGGGCACTAAAGGCCTTCTACTGGGGAAGGATGTCAGTGCACCACCCGAAAGTATTCCCAGATTACTTACGGAAACACGGGAGGGTCAAAAATAGACTTGATGCCCCCCGCATAGATGGAGAGGATGGAGATGATCACACAGGCCAGGAAGAGCGAGGCAAATTTGTTCACGTACTTGACGCCAACAAACACCACCAGGGTCATGAAGGTAAGGAAAAGGGTCCCGTACACCCGCATGTTGTTCAAGGTGGCACTGGACGAGTCGTGAGCGCCTGTTGAGTGAAAAACGGCAGCTGGCGGGGCAATGTAGGTCTGAAACAAGAGACAGATACAGAAGTTTCAAGTTTCCTATTTAGAGAGTGAATCCCATCATTAAAAAAAAAAAAAAAAGAAAGAAAAGCCAGCCACAAAAGACCACTTACTATATGATTCCATTTATATGAAATGTCCAGAACAGGACAGTCTGATTATGGACAGAAAGCAGATTAATGGTTGCCTAGGGCTGGGGGGAAGAGAGTGACTAGCATAGGTCTTCTGGAGTGATGAAAATGTTCTAAAACTGACTGTGGTGATGTGTGCACAATTCTGTGCATATACTAAAAACCTTTACATTTTATACTGTAAGTGAGAAGTGAATTGTATAGTATGTGAGTTATATTTTAATAAAGTTGCTTGTTTAAAAAGGATTCAGGACACAGGAGTCATCTGGAATAGTGAAGAGCTAAACAGCCAAAGTGGAACAGTTTGAGTGACAAAATAAATAATGACAGTACTGGACCATGAGCCAAGACTAAAATAAATATCCAGGAGTCCACACTGATATAAACACGTGGTTGAATAAATAAGTAAATGGGGAAAAGGACAAATTTTCTTTACAGAAGAAACCCAAATAATAAATGTAGGAATGTGGGAAACGGAAACAAAATACAACCTCCCCCCTCCCCATAGGGTCCGCACTGCAGGCGAGGACCTGGAGATGGGAGGAGCCAAGCAGTTCCTCTAACTGGCTCCTACTGTCTGGATCCCCAGCGGTGAGGGGTGGGGGAGCCACAGGCACTTGTTACCCTGTGATCCCCAGGGGGCATCTACCTCTTCTCCCACCAGCTGGAGCAGTTCAGTGGGGAGTGGGAAGCTGCGTCAGAACACACAATGGGCTCACAGAGGGGATAGGGACCTCCAGACAGGGTCCTGTGGCCGCTTACCATGATTTAGGGTCAAGGATAAGGTGGGTCTGAAGGGCTTGCCACAGAAGCCTGGGAGCCTGGGCGAGACAGACCTGGTCAGAGCCCACAAATGTCTGGGAGGCGGGCTCTGTGCCACCACCAAGATCTGTCACTGAGGTTAATGCAATAGTTTACAGATACCTGCCATGGCTGCAATGGGGCCCAAGTGAATGGAACATCCAGGGCCAAGGTGAAGGCAGCCAGGCTAGGCCCCTTCCCTGCGAGGTCCGAACTGGAAAGGGGTTGAAGGGAAGACTGGCTTGAGCAAAGATCTTTCTCCCTCCAGGAGGCCTCCCACAGTATAAGCCCCAGACTCTGGTCAGAGGTGAGGAAGCGCGCACAGCTTGGGCCTATGGGAAAAGGGACTGCTTGGACAAGACCGGAGCTGGCCAGGGCCTTGCGTGACTCACCAGCAAGATCTCAATGGCCCCCAGGATGTACATGGCTGCTGCAAATGTTGTTCCCAAGTAGAAGCACAGGCCCACTGCACCTCCAAATTCTGGCCCCAGGGAGCGGGAGATCATGAAATAGGAGCCCCCAGCTACAACAGAGAAAGTGTACACTGGTCAAGGCTGGTTCTTCTTCAAGGGGGTCTCTGCCCTGACAACCTCTCATAACCACCCAGAGGGAGAGGAATAAATTTTCCTATTTATAGATGAGCAGAAGGATTGGAAGATTTGCCTAAGGCTGAGGCATAGTTAGTAACTGGCCAGGCTGGAGTGGGACCTCCCTCCATCGGACTCCAGTGCCCAGTGAAGGCCAGTGAAATGACTTTGCTAGGTGGTTCTAGGTCTGCAGCAGTGCCTAGGTGGCCCACTGTCCCCCAACTCCCTGCACTTAGGCCAGTCCCCACAACCGCCACTAGCTGGCCATGTCCTATCTCACTGTACCTCACCCCTCCCAAGGACTGTGTCTATCAGTCTCATCCCTCCAGACCAGGGCTGGAACCGTGTTTTGTCAAGTTTTTTGTCCCTGGGGCCCAGCACAGGGCCTACCACTGAGTGAGTTTCCATGGCTGCCCCTCCTGCCCCGAGTCTGTGCTGCCAGCAGAGCCCAGCACCCCTGGCAAGACTGCCAGAGACAACACTGGGCCCCAGGGCCAGGGCGGGTGCGGGGGTGTGCTGCTAGTTGGATTTGCTCCTGATAAAATATCTCTGGTGAAAAATCTGGGAACAGGGGTCAGGAAACTTTAAAATGGTTAATTCCTGCCCTGGCTGGTGTGGCTCAGTGGACTGAGTGCCAGCCTGAGAACCAAAGGGTCACTGGTTTGATTCCGGGTTAGGGCACATGCCTGGGTTGTGGGCCAGGTTCCCAGGAGAGGGAGCGTGAGAGGCAGTCAGACATTGATGTTTCTCTCCCTCTCTTTCTCCATCCCTTCCCCTCTGTTTAAAAATTAAATAAATATTTTTTTAAATGTTAATCCCTTTCATGCTGCAATCCACCTCCAGGACCCTCTCCTAAGGGAACTGCTAGGGGTGTAAACAGAGATTCGTGTGCAAGGCTGTTCACAACAATAACACAACAGTGAAAAAGTAGACTTGAAGAGTAGAAAAATAATCACAATTAGATAATACACTATCAATCCCACTTAAAAAAAACCCAAACTTTCCCCAATATTTTGGGTTTGGGAAAACAATACATCAATATTTTATAAGATTGTAAGACCATGTACCAAAAGACTAATAGTAATGAATTCAGAATAGTGGTATTATAAGTACATCCAATTTTCCTTTCTACATTTCTGTGCACTTCTAAGCCCTCTTATGGGTAAACATATATTGCCTTCCCCCCTACTATTTTTATACTAATTTTAAGAATACTGTCATTTTAAAAAAGGATCCAGCCCTGGCTTCTGTGGGTCAGTGGACTGAGTGCCAACCTATGAACCAAAGGGTCAGTGGTTCCATTCCCAGGCTGGGCTCATGCCTGGTTGCAGGCCAGGTCCCAGTATGGGGTGTGCAAGAGGTAACCACACATTGATGTTTCTCTCCCTATATTTCTCCCTCCCTTCTCCTCTCTCTAAAAATAAATAAATAAAATCAATTCAAAAAAGGATTCAACCCTGACTATTATGGCTCAGTTGGTTGCATGTCATCCAACAAAGCAAAAGGTTACCGGTTTGATTCCTGGTCAGGGCAAATGTGTGAGTTGTGAGTTTGGTCCCTGGACGGGGTGTGTGGGAGAGGCAACTGATGGAAGTTTCTCTCCCTCTCTTTTTCCTTCTTCCCCCCTCTCCATGATAAATAAATAACAACTTAATTTATTTTTAGAGAGGGGAGAAAAGGAAGGAGAGAAACATCAGTGTGTGGTTGTCTTTCATGCGCCCCCTACTGGGGACTTGGTCCGCAACCCAGGAATGTACCCTGAATGGGAGTCGAACCAGTGACTATTTGGTTCCCAGGCTGGCGTTCAATCCACTAAGCCACACCAGCCAAGGCTAAATAAATGAAATCTTTAAAAAATAAAAATAAAAAGGCTCCAGATGCAGACACAGGAGCCAAACTGAATATCTAAACAGATGAAGTGGAAAAGTTCGAGCAATAAAATAAATAATGAATTACTAGATCATGATTCAAAGAATAAAATAACTATCTGGGAGTCCATACTGATATAAATACATTGTTGAGTAAACAGGGTCTCTGAAAACCAAGTCTAGCCCTGGTTGGTGTGGTTCAGTTGGTTGGGTGTTGTCCCTCAGGGTCTAAGTTCACTGGTTCGATTCTTGATTAGGGCACATGTCTGGGTTATGGGTTCAGTACCTGAATGGGGAGCATAGGGGAGGCAACTGACAGATGCTGCTCTTTCACACTGATGTTGTTCTCCCTCTCTTCCTCTCTAAATAAAATCTTAAAAAAAAAAAAAAAGAAAACCAAACCCAGGGTCATCGTCCTCGCTGAAACCCCCTGCACTGCGCTACGATCCATGGTGTGGACCAGCCTCCTTCGCATGGGCTACCAGCTGCATCCCTGTCGCCTCTTCTAGCAGCCTCAGCCCCCTTTTATTTTTAATATTTTATTTTTTTGGTGAGGGAGGAAGGGGACACCTACCTAGCCAGCCAGATCAGCCGAACCAACCCTGGCAATTAATGGGATGACAACAGTTGCAGCCAGATCGTCCTAACACTCCCCAGTTCACATTTAAAAACAAACAGAAAAAACAAAACACAACAGACATCTCAAACTCTGTCGAGCAAGGAAGTTCCTATGTGATGCAACTGTCAGGGATTCAAGGACTAAGACCCCACCAAAGAACTGCTTTGATCTGAAAGAACTGCTTTGAGGGCGGAAGCAATGAGTGTTCTGGGTATGTCCATATGGATTCTGGACCTGCTACCCCCAACAGGCCCAGGGCAGTGCTCACCCACCTGGAACCACTCCGTTGGTGGCGATGGCGCTCATGGAGATGGCTGTCAGCAAGGTCTGTGGGAAGGAGGACCTACGTGAGCAGTTCGGCAGGAGTCTCGGCAGGCAGCCGTGGCCCTGCCCCAGCCCGGATACTCACGCAGCAGCAGCAGATCAGCACAATGAGGAGGGCCTGCAGCACGCCGGCCGTGCCCACCATCCACGTCAGCCGCAGGAAGAGGATCACCCCGAAGATATTCTGCAGGCAGGGCAGGTACACCCCCATGAGGGTGCCCATGCTGGGCGCCTGTGCAGCAGGAGGGGTGAGGGAGACAGAGAGCATCAGAGGGGCCCAGATGCACCAGGGAAGGCCCCAGCAGTCAGTTGCTCGGTCACTCAGCAGTCCCCAAGGGGTCCTGCAGAGAGCAAGTTGCAGAGGTGCATCCCGAGTGGAGACCTGGGGAGCACAGGTGCGGGGTGACAGCTAGCATGTCTACGTTGACTTTTTTATGTATGGAGATAGTTTGGCACTGGGAAGGTATAAAGCCTGATTCATTTCAAAATGCCACAGGTGGGCTTTGGAGCCTCACTTCCTCTTCAAGGTACTGCCCCCTTTCCCTCTTTTCTTGTAAACTTCTGGAGAGAGGTCTGTCTCAGATCTCCACCTTCTCCCCCAGCAGGCCCCATGTCACCCAAGCCAGAATCTAAGAGTTTGTCCTTGGCCTTCTGTCAGTCCAAGCCCCCGTTCCAGTCCAGGTGGACACCGAGTTCTAGCCAGCGTGCCTCTCAAGCTGCACTTAGACCAGCCTGCCTCGCCTCTGCCTCAGTCCCTCGAACCTGAGGCACTGTGCTTGGGACAACTGGATGGTGCCCTGCGGGGCCTGTCAGCCTCTCCACACTGCCACCTTCTCTGCTGCCAAAGCAGGGTTCTGAAAACCAAGTCCAGTGTCATCGCCCCTACCAAAAACACCCTGTACTGTCTATCCTGTAATCCACAGCATGGGCCAGACTCCTTGGTTTGGGCCACCCAGTGTGCCCCATCCCTTCATTGTCAGTTTCAGTCCGTGATGACACAGGTCCCTCAGAGCCTCTGAACCACCACATGCGCGGGACTCTCCCTGGGAGGGTCGGTCCTGCCTCACTGCCTGGCACACTCCTCTTTAGATAAACCTTCCAGAGGGTTAACTGTGTTGCCCCTTCCAGGAAGTTCCTCTGGGTTGCCTTAGGTAGAGTTGACAGCCCTCTTCCAGCCCCTCAGCATTTGATATACCCTTTCATCACAGGGTCACTTACAGGTCATGGTAACTGTTTACTCGAATATCTCATGACCATACTGGGGTAGACTTGGCTTGTTCACTGTTGTATTACCAGCAGGCCCTGCGGGTGCCCAAAAGGTGCTCCTGAGCCCAGTGAGTGGTGCCTTGGAAGGGCCCTAGGACAATGTGTTGGGGAAATCCTACATAGAGTAGAGACTCAAGGTTGAAGAGCAGATTAAGGGGAAACACACACACACACACACACACACACACACACACACACACACACGAGGTCTGTCCGGAAAAAGTCCAGTCATTATTGACATAATGAGACTGGTTTGAGCAACATCGATGTAACCTGGCAGCCAAGGAGGGTGGACTGGAATGTGCGTGCATGAACAATGACAGCTGACTGTACTAGTCAGTGGGGGCAGTGGATGCTGTTGAGTGAGCATGTGTACTTTGTGGCTGTCACATTGGAAATGACTGAGCAAGGAGAGCAACAAACTTGCATCAAATTTTGCTTTAAGCTTGAACATCCCTCCACAGAAACTATTCAGATGATTCAGAAGGCTGCAGCTATGGGCAACTGGTGATTGGCAGCTTCATCAGGACAATGTGCCTGCTCATGCATCACGTTTTGTGTAGAGTTTTTTGGTGAAACGTGAAATGACCAGGTGACTCAGCTATAGCCCAGATTTCACGCTCTGTGACTTCTAGCTTTTCCCAAAACTAAAATCACCTTTGAAAGGGAAGAGATTTCAGACTGTTGGTGAGATTCAGGAAAATGCATAGGGCAGCCAATTGTGACTGGGAGAACTGTGTGAGGTCCCAAGGTGCCCAGTTTGAAGGGGACTGAGGCATCACTGTCCTATGTACAGTGTTTCTTGTATCTTCTTCAATAAATGTCTCTCTTTTTCATAGTACATGGCTGGATACCTTCTGGACAGACCTTGTACATAAAACACAGGCAACAGTGTGGTAATAGCCAGAGGGAAAGGGGTTTGAGGGGTAGGTGGAGGTGGGCAAAGCAGGGGAAAGTGGGGATGGAAAGAGACTGCTTGGGGCAATGAGACCAGGATACAGTGTACAGATGATGTTTTGTTGAGTTGTACACTTGAAACCTGTATGGTTTTATGAACCAATGTCATCCCAGTAAATTCAATTTTACAAAGTGGAAGGTGCAGGTGAAGAAGGTCCAATGGGCATACACAGGCGGGATTTCTCAGCTATCTAAGGGCAGAATAGTGGCCAGGCAGAGGCTGAGGCACAGAGGCAGGCAGGTGAAGGTGCCTCCTAGAAGAACTGAGTCCCCATGAGTGCAGCATGGGGTAGTGGGGCTTAAGAGCTTCCACCAGAGCCCTGGCAAAGTCTGCGGTCCTGGAACTGCGATGGGAGAGAGCTGTGGCCACAGGAACTCCTCCAAAGGGTCCAGGTCTGGGGCAGGATCTATGTGTGGCCTGAAGGACCTCACAAGGACCCGAGTAAGAATGAATGGTTCCTCAAAGTGTCCCGCACAGTGTAGGTGACAGATATACATCATCTGGGCTCTCTGAGCCCTTTTCAGAGACCCTAGACCACCCACTGTATAGCAGTAAGCTCCCAGCCCCACCTCAATTCTAGGCTGAGTCACTCTGGAAACAGCAGTGTAGGGAAGGGCAGGGCCAGAAATGCTTTCCACATCTCCAAATAACCTCTGGCAGCCTCAGAAAGTCACGAGGCCAGAGCCAAGTGCTGTGGCTGCTATGGAGAGGCTGCATAGGGTCTTGGCATGGTCTGATTGAAGGCCTGCCCTTCCTGCTTTAAGCCTTATTTTTCTGTGGCCCAGCTCAGAGCCACCCTGGGTAAGGACCACAGCGCAGTGGCCCCACCCCCCTAGCTTCCTACTGACTCACTGTAGACTTGACCAGGCTTCTCTTTCCTTGATGGAAAAATCACTGAACCTGGAACACTCAGGGACCCTCTCACATCCTTACTCTAAGGCCAGGTGGGCTGGGCAGATAAGCTGAGGGTGGACCCCAGCATCCTCACAGGCTCCTCATAGGGCCAAGGGACGATACCCCTTTCCAACCCGGGCTTCCTTCCAAAGCTTGTTGAGGTGTGCACTAGTTTTCCTTTTTTTTTTTTAAATTAAAAAAAGTTTGCCTTGGCTGGTACGGCTCAGTGAATTAGCACCAGCCTGTGAACCAAAAAAGGTCACCAGTTCAATTCCCAGTCAGGGCACGTGCCAGGGTTGCAGGCCAGGTTCCCCAGTTGGGGGCGTGCAAGAGGCAACTGATCAATGTATCTCTTGCACACTGATGTTTCTCCCCCTTGCCCTCCCTCTAAAAAGTAAGTAAATAAAATCTTTAAAAAAATAAGTTTATTTAGAAAGCCACAGAGGTAGAAGAAATGGGCCCAGGAAACGAGAAGGGCCCTTGGAGCTTAGGAGGGAGAAAGGTAATGACGTGCGTATGGGGAAGGAGGAGAGGGAGAGCCCCCTGTACTACAGCCTGTCTTGGGGACCTCTTTACTCCCAGCCACAGTTCCCTGGACTTGGCCTTAAGGGACAGGGAAGAGGCACTTACCCAAGGATCCTACTACCCACATCAGGCAACAATCTAGAGGCTGAGACCTCACTGCAGGGCTGAATAGCCACAGATAGCCAGGGTTCTCTGCTGTCTGCAGTCCAGAAAATGTCAGCAAAATCCCCACCAGCAAGATATGGTGGAGGTCAGATCTGTGCGACCTCAAGATCTCTGTTGCCCTCTCTGAAGTGTGGGCTGATTTGTCTCTCACAGAGGCAAGGTGAGGGGTGCACATGAGCCTGCTCTCCCCTCTCCCCTTGGTCCACCCCAGCAAGGCCCAAAACTCCCAAACAAGTCTAAGGCTGGGGCCCTGGCTTATCCCAACCAAGTGCTCTTTCTGCTTGTGCTGACCTCCAGCAAGAATACTATAGCTAGCGCCAGACCCACGCCCCTGCCAATCACACCTGCTCCCCTGATCTCAGGGAGTCAGGTAGACAAGGAGGGCTCCTTGCCCAGCCTGCAGTTGGACCAAGTTCCGTCACACAAGGGAGCTAAGCAAAGATCAGCAAAGTCATACACCAGCTGGTGTTAGTCAGTGGATTGAGCACCAGACTGCGAACCAAAGGGTTGCTGGTTTGATTCCCAGTCAGGCCACATGCCTGGGTTGGGATGCACACAAGAAGCAACCACATACTGATGTTTCTCTCTCTCTTTCCCTCCTCCCCTCTCTAAAAATAAATAAATGGAATCTTAAAAAAAAAAAAGAGAGAGAGAGAAAGAGAAAAATGAGTCTGAAGAGCCAGAGGCCTGGATAGGGACCAGCAGCCCCAGGAGGCAGTGCTGTGCTCCTATCCTCCGCCTTCCCACCAGGTGCTCAAGGAACCTTGGAGTGGTCTGCCAATGAAGCCAACATGGGAAAGGCACAGAAGCGTTTGGTTACTGGCTCTAGGTCACACAGCCCCAAGGGACAACCATCCTCCTAGTTCCAAAGGTAGCACCCTTATCCACCCTGATGGAATGCTAGTGATCGGCCTCCTACATGGTCACATATCTCACAATAAAGCCACGAATGTGCCCCACCCATGTTACACACTGATCTCGGGTGGCTCAGTCACCTTAGGCAAGTTACTCGACACCCCTGACACTCAGTATCCCCACCTGTAAAATGGGGATAAGAATAGCACCTGCCTCACAGCTTTGTTGTGATGACTCGCAGGAACCCAGGATTATGCCTCTCACAGAGAGGGCTGAGTAAAGGCAGCTGTCCCTCTCGCTGTCATTTCTGAGGGCCTCCATGGCTCTTTGCCCCCTCTAGCCGTCAGTCCCCTTGAGCCCAAGGGGCTCAGTGTCCATCCTCCATGCACACCACATCTGGCACCCACTTCCCCTGGGACGCTCACAACCACACAGGGAACTTGCCAATTCTGTGATGTTGAGTCTGTCTTCCCAGGAGTGCCCCCTCTGCTGCCCTTGGCCAGCTCACCTTGGACGTCCTCCGGCGGGTACCCTCCCCACTTTCAGCCTCCTCATGCTCTTTGGCGCCCTGGGTGAGGTTGGTGTAGCTGACGAGCTTGCCCAGAAGAGACGATACCTTTGGGCGGATGTCCAGCTCTTCCTGTAAACAGAGCCACAGGGCGGTCTGGCAATGGGCCCAGCTGGCGTCAGGCTACCTATGTGTAGCCAGCAGCCTGGCCTCTGGCCCCTTGCCAGGCCCTGAGGCAGGCCTGGGACTGATCACAGCTCTTGCCTGGGGAAGCCTACGCCAATCAATTGGGCAGGTGTGGGCACCACACCCCAGCATTTGGCACTCAAAGGCTCAGGCTAGTAGCTGCTTCTCTCTGCCCCACCTTAGCTACAGACACTACTAACCCATCTGTGAAATCTACCTGCCTCAGGAGAGAGCACAGGGCAGGACATGGCTGGCAGACAGAATGACACGCTTCATCCTGCCTGTTCTGCCTGGCCACCTTCCAGCTATGAGTGGGCCACTGAGCCCCACATCTGCCCTCAACCCTCCCACAAAAAAGCTGCCCCTAGTTACTTCAGGAAACCAAGGAAGTGAGAGAGGATGTCTGGGACAAGTAAAGTCTCTCTTATTTGCTCAAACCCTGATCCTTCTCGATGGCCCCCACCCCCAGTCCCAGGCCCTGAGAGTAACCCACTTCAATCCCCAAGGCAGGAGGGAGCCTGGCCCCCTAGCCTATCCTCAGGTAGAGCCAGGTCAAGGTCTTTGTTACAGAAACTCGCTGCTCTTCCAAGTCAGGAGGCTTCCCAGAGCTCAGATTCCCCAACCCGCCCCCGCCCCAGGGTCTGACTTCTCCAGCGCCATGCCTTCGCCTACCTATGCCCACATCTAGTCTTTGCCCTTCTGCCAGCTCTCCCTTAACCCCCCACACAAGCAGGAAGTGATTTGGAGTAAAAAGTGAAGATGCAGGTCTTTGGGGGGCATGAGGACACTCAAGAGCCCACAGGACTTCCATGGCGGCAGCTGAATGTGTGGGTCAGAGCTTAGGGGCTTAAACCAATGCCCTGAATCCAGACCCAACTTCTGAGTTTGGGTCTGAAAAGGATAAAATTCAAGTTCAGAGGCACAAAACTGGGAGTGTTTCCAGAGAGGGGGCAGATCCAGTGAGAAGGACCAAGTCTTAGTGAATTTTGAGGGGAACAGGGTCGGAAGAACCAACCAGGAAGGACAAGGAAGAGTTGACGGGGGAGAGAGGTCTAGGACCACAAGAGTCCTAGAAAGAAGGGAGAAGGGAAATCCGGAGGCAGTTGCCTTGCTGAAGCGCCGCAGGGAAGTCAAAGGTGAATACTTCCAGAGGTGGTGACAGGGTGGGGTTGTGAGTGGCCTCTAGGAAAGCATCCTCAGTTCAAATAACCAAGGGAACCACAGCCTGGTGGCCAAGAAGGTGAGACAGACGAGGGGAGACTGGAGGAGGAGCCAAGACATAAAGAGACACAACTGTCCAGCCTGCCTTCTTTGTGATGGCTTGGGTCCCTACAGGCCACTGCCCGCCCAGGTCTTTGATTACCTCAAACAGTGCCAGGTTCCTGTCATAGTATTCGCTTCCTCTGGAAGCCTCCAAGGGACAAAGGAAAGGGCTGCTCTCTCTGTGGCTGCCATGTCCTGTGGAGAGAGGAGGACAGAATCCCAGTCAGGGATTACCTCCTGAGCCCTCAGTGTGCACTGCTGGCTCCCTAGTGGGCCAGCCCACAAAACGTCACCCCTGTGGAGCACTTTGGAAGCCAGTGCTGGCAGTTTTCCCATCAAATCCACCAGTCCCCATGAAGAGCCACAGTTGTCTGAGTGGCCAATTACCAAAATGCAGCGTATCATCTCCTCTAGCACAGGAAACTGCAGGAAGGCCCCAAACCTGCTCAAGCACGTGTTAACACCAGGAGCAGAGCCAGCTGGGAGGGCGTGACCCGCCCTCAGACCCCCAAATCCCGTTTTCCCAGCCCAGTTGGAATACCCAGCGAGACAGGGGCCAAGGCTTTGCTGTCTTCAGGGTCTACCCAGGTGCTGCCTTCCAGGTAGATGAAACCACACAGGGCACCTTCAGCCGCCATGCTAGTTGCCCCACCATGCACTGGGCGGGGCCTCCCGGAGGGCGGCCTGGGGCATGCTGGGAGGAGGGGCAAACGAGCTCAGAGCGGAAGTGGGCCCAAGATGCTGTCCGGAGTCGTGTTCAAAAGCCTGGGTGGTTGGTGTTAGGACTGCGCAGGGACTGCCGGCAGGAGTCGCTTGTTGGCCTGCCTGCCTCCAGTTCCCGGACGCTTGCTCAGACTAGGTGTGTGGCCGATGTGTCCCCTAGGCTGGTGAGACAGTGCCTCAGCTGCAAAGAAACCTCGTAGAAAAGAACCAGACCCCCCCCCCCTTTTTTTTTTAATAATAATACGCCTGCCTCAACTCTCAAAGCTTGGCTGATTTTTCTGGCGGCCCGGCGTTTGCACTCTTTCTCGTTTTCCAAGCTGTCCCTTGTGAGGCTCAGTAGATGGCGTTCCCAACTTTCCATCAGGGAGACGGAAGGCACCAAGTAGTCCTTCTCTGGTCGCTGAGTGGTTGGGTTTTATTTGTTCTCCCTCCAGTCAGTCCGGTAGCCGCGGCAGTGGCTGGAGGCCTCACAGCAAGTGGAAAGCTGACATCTTGGTTCAAAGAAGTCAAGTTGGTGTTGCAGTGACTGGCAGCAGTGCAGGCCTGGTGTCAACAGAAGTGTCCTCACGGACCCAGACTACTAGGGTTTTCGGGCCATGCACTGGCCCTCTCTGGTTTTGTGAGGGCTACCTGCCAGCCTTTTCTGGTTAGTCTATAATTTCATGTCTCCTGTTTGCAGCTAAGAATGCTGAATGAAGCATCCTCCGCCATCGGCATGAGACATAACTTGCCTCCTCTAAGCCAACAATTACTCAGCAGGTGCTGCACTGTGGATTCTTTATTACCCAAGGAGACTGACAGGTAAAGCTGATGACAATTTTTGGGGCAAAGCCCCTCTTCCTTCGAACAGCACATGAAAACAATACCTCCTCCAGGCACCTGAACTCTCTGTTTCTAAGTGAGCCAAGCAGCTCAGTCCCACGAGCCACAAGGCTGTGTGAAGGCCAATACCAATGGGACACTTGACAAAGGCAGCAAGAGGTCAAGCCAGCCCACCAAGCCATGTTAAAGCCATGTAGGGTCACATAAGCTCCTTGGACACCCTCTGACACTTGCTGTGCCCCTGATGCTTGTTCAGGACCAGGATAAGGAGCCACAAGAAAAATCTGAAAACCCAGTAACTCTGCCTGTTACTGATGGCCCCTCAGTGGAAAGTGTCTGAAAAGTACTCTTGGATTTTTATGGGGGAAAAATACATATATATCTCCCCTAAATAAGTCAGATGCTTCATTTTGTCAGAAAATGGCAGCTATTGAGCTCATCTTTGTTCCCTTTCTGCCTTGGCTGCCAAGAATCTCCAAGCTAAATTTATTCCTTAGATGCAGTCACCAAGCCCTTGCCCCATTCCTCTGCATGACTTTGATCTTTCTGAGGCCAAGTCCTTTGGGGAGACACCAAGGGGCAAAGCCTGCCAGCAGAGGCATTGCATCTCTTCTGGTCCTTTTGTGAAGCTGGTTGGAAGTATATTATAAATTACTCTAACCTCATGCACTGCAGTCTGCCTCCCCACTGTTGCTTTGTCCCTCTGCGGAGACTGAACAAGTATCCTGAAGACTCAGAGCCAGGCAGGAGGCAGTTCCCCCAAACTGGCATGGGTGGTCCTGTAAGATCCAGCAGATCCCTTGTCCCTGCAGCTATGACTCCAGGGCACCTGGAAGCCCTTCCAAGGGTTGCCCGTAGTCCTCACAGTAACCCTCCAGGAGATACCCTTTACTCCTTTTTAGTAGCAAAGAAAGTAAGGCTCAGAAACATTCAGAGGCAAGGTCACCCGGTAGAAGGGCCAAACTTAGGTCCCAGAATCCACTAGAACCAGGTAGGAGCTGAGCCACAGGTTTGCTAATCCTATTCTGGGCCACAATCCATCACAGGATGCACCCAGGGTGCACATACCCAGGGCTCTTGGTGCTCAGATGGCTGGCACCCTGACTTGGATTCCTGACCCTCCCTCTCTGTGACCCAGGGGGACTTGCTTACCCTCTCTGTGCTGACTCGGCCTCCTCTTCTATGAAGTAAAGATCTAACTACCCAGATCAATCAGAAAAGAGACGGTCTGGTGCCAGACACCCGGCAGACATTTCCTGGAGTTCCCTAAAGCCTCATTTAAGGGCAGCTCCCACGGGGACTGTGGGAATATGTGTGTGGGGGTGTGGGGGGGGGGCTCTCAGCAATGTCTGGGTGCCTGTACTGCCCTTGGCTATTCTAAAAATTCCAGGGCAGGTCTGGGCATGCCTGCCAGGCTGAAGCTGCTCAGATACCACCTGAAATCCCTGGTGAACCAGAATATGGCCTGGGCCTGGGGGCTGCCTGTGAAGGACCCATATATGTGTGTTCCTGGCCACAGCTGTGAGTACACCAGCTGCAGATGGGGATCCAGATGACACTTCTGATCCCTGTGCTCACAGGCATCCGCCAGGGGTACTAGAACCTCTATACCGCTTGGGGCAGAGGTGTGGGCCTTGAGAGATTGAAGTGCCAGGCTGGGGATACCCCATGAGATGGATCTAAGGCTCACTGTGTGTGTGTGTGTGCCCCCAACCCTTTGCAGTCCTACCAAGAGGAATCATCACTTACCAGGGCGTAGAGTGTCCCCCATACTGCAGACACAGTCAAGGTTTGACTGAAAAGGAGTAAGAGGAGGAGGGGGGATGTGGGAGGAGCTGGCCCAGCCAGGATGGACCTGGCAGGACTCAGCCAATGTGGCTCCAGGTCGCTCCTGTCACCCTGTGAGAGGCCAAGGCGGGGCCAGAGGCTAGGCTCAGCTTTGTCTGCCCATGGGTCCAGGCTGATCCTAGGGATGCAGTCCAGCCCTGCCTTTGGGAGAGAAAGCCTCCCAGAGCTAAAGGGAGCAGGGATGCCGGTTCCTGTGCACGAACACAGCTGTCCAGCCTGTAAAGTCCCATGAGGTCCCGTAGCCCATGCCCGTGATCTGTGCCATCACCCACATTGGGTATGGATCACCTCAGTCACCATCACAGACAACACGGAGCTAGGTCAAGATTGCATCACCTGACACATGCCACCACACACGTGTTCTCTGCATATCTCCATCATGGCCAGTCACAGACACAGGCACTTGTCATCAGTCATATCACCATTCTCATCAGTGACACACCTGCAGGAAAGTGGCCATGAAAATGTGCTACCCTGGGGCCACCTTCACCCTGCGATAAAGGCTACACACTCGTACAAGTGCATATACATGCATATGCCGCTATTCATGCAGACTCACACTCCAAGAGTGGGCTGTGCAAGGCCAGCCGCCTGGAGGCCCCTCTTCTGGCCCGGTTCTAATACCTAGGGTAGGAGTTAGGGTGCAGGAGTCTCTAACCCTGGGTTTCGGTCCCCTGGTGCAAACTGCGTACTGCTCCCTGTCTCAGTCACTCCTTCCTAAGGGTAACAGGGCCTATCCCTGGGGGGAGTTGGTTTGATTAAGCGAGTCAATTCACATAAAGCACCTAGATGAGCCTGACTCCGTGTGAGTGCTCCTCAGACGCCCACTGTGCCTACTGATCCCCTAAGAGGGGATCAACACGAGACGGCGTACAAGGGGTCACGCACAGACCCCCCTGGGCAGGCACGCTCTTCTCTCCAGCCGGCCCGAGTTCAGGAAGGCACAGGAATGGGAGAAGGGAGGGGAGTCTTAGGGTCGGAGGCAGTGAAGCACAAATGGGGAGGCGAAGAGAGAAGAGGCTGGAAGCGGTTCCCAGAAGGTGAAGGGGCTGGGGTCCGAGCAGCGGCTACGCTCCTCGGGAAGGGCCAGAGATGGAGGCTCGCCGCTATTCTTGCGCCTAGCGGCCCCGAGGGAGCCTCTTTGGTTGGCCACGTCTGCAGCCCCCGCCCGCGGCCAGTAAGGGAGGAGCTGGGCTGGGGAGGGCGTCCCGACTGCGGGCGCGCCCGGGCCCAGGAAAATCGTGTCCGCGCTCGTGGAGCGAGGGACGGGGAGCGGAGGCTCAGACTAAGAAAAGTTGTGCCCGCATCGACGTGTGCGCGATCGGGCCAGGTGTTCCGTGCGAGCGCGGGGCTCCATGTGGCCCGCTCCCCAGTCCCCGCCAAGGCCCCATCCGGGCGCGCCCTCACCGTCAGAGTCATCCCGCTCGGCGCGCTCCCCGTAGTCCACCCAACTGAGCCCCTCGAGGTTGTCATAGTCGCCGCGCCGCGGCCCGTCCACCGGCACCACAGTAAAGTGAGGCATCGCACACTCTCGGCCTTGCCTCTCCCGCTGCCCGGGCCGCCAGCCCAAAAGTCCCCGCCGCCCCGGGTAGGCGCACCCCGCCCGCTCGCATTCCTCCCCGCTGCGCTCACTTCCTCCGCCCGCCCCCCGGGCCGCCCCTCGGGGGCGGGGAGCAGGAGGGGCTGGGCCGGCTCCTCCCCTAGGGGTCCCCGAGGAGTGGAGCCCCTCTGGAGCGGGCGTTACTGGTCGCTCCACGCCCTAAAAAAGGCCTGATTGCTGTGTGACCTTGAGTGAGGAACTGCCCTCTCTGAGCCCCAGATGTGGTACTGTAAAACGAGGAAATGTGCTTCCATCTCTTGGGGGTTGTTTGAGGGCAACATGAGGTGGGGCGCGGGGTGCCCTGGCCCTGCGCTCTTGTGCCTAGTAAACGTTCAGCCACATTTCTGTGACTCCGGGGAAGGGAATGATTGGCAAGATCTGCCCAGGATTGCGGAGGTCTTCCCCGTCCTTCCCAGGGCCTTCCACCATTCCTCGGTACCCCCTATCCATTTCCATCCTGTCTCCCACCTCTCCTCCGACTCCCTCCCGGTGGAGGCAGCTGGGGATTCTGGCTCCTTCCCCAAAGGCTGCTTCCTCCTCCGTAGAAAGGACACCCATCCCCCGCCGCCGGCCTTTTTTGCCCCTTTGGGACTCTACATTCAATTCTTTAGGCAGATTCTTCATCTTAATTTTATCTTTTACTGTCTCACTTCCTGAGGGTTCCTTTACCGAAATCGTTTACTGATTTGTTCGTACTTTTTTCTTTCACTTTCTACACTGCTTCAGATAACTTACACAGTGGGCTTTACTTCAACGTCTGTATCTTTCTAGGTGCCCTTGCAGCTGCTACTCTGTCAGAAAACCCCAGAGCCCATCTTACTTGTCTGTCTCAATTTTCCTCCCCTGTAGGGCTCACCGGGCTTTAGAACATCAGACTCAGTGGTGTCCTCCCATCCAGCCTCTGACTGCCGCCTCTTCCCATCCTCCAGTTCTGGGGCAGAAGCAGGAATCAGAGTCCCTGGGCCTTGCAGGAGGACCTCTGAGCTGACCGCCACCCTGGCCCCTAATCCACAGTCATCCCAGCCAGGGCCTGCCCACTTGACTTCCTGTCCCTCAGGCTACCTTCAGCTGCCCACAGCCGCAGTCTTCCAAACGAAGGGCTTGCTCTCTCCCCCTCGTGGTAGAGAGAAAGCCCCAAGCTCTTCTCTTGGCCCACAAGGCCCTGCTCCATCTGACCCCTCCAGCCTCTCCAGCTGCACCTCTCCCCATCCCCCCTCCCACCCTCAGCCCTTCTGGCCTCTCTCACTTCCTCAGACTGAGGGAGTTTCTGCAAATCACCTACTGTTCACTCTGACAGAATGCCTGTCAACTCTCTGCCCCCACCCTGGCTTACCAAACTCCTCCAGAGGGGAGCCCTTCTCAGCCTGGAGCACCACCTCCTTCCCAGAAGGCTTTCCAGACACCCATCCCATACCCCACCTCACCCTCCCTGGATAGTGTTCCCCTGGGGCACCTTCCCTTCAGAGTCCCCATGGCAGCAAGAAATGCATTGTGGGGGCTCTTCAGTTAATGTTTTTCTGTGCTCGCTAGACTGGGTATTTCACAAAAGCAGGACCCCTTTGGTCTCTTCACTTTGGTATCCTCAGTCCCTGGCCCCAGGGTGCAGTACAAACCTTAAACAAGAGGAGAGTGTTTGGGGTTTATAATATGGCCAAAAACATGTTCTCAGAAGTGTTCCCATGGCCTCTGCCCTGCCACCACAGGCGGCCTCTCTCCTCAGGGGTGGGGCCACGTGCTGTGTGGGGGAGATAGGCCAGTGAAGGCCAACAGACAAACTTAGCTCTGGGGACCTCTGTGCCCAGGACGTGACTTCTCCCACACCAGTTACTGACTGACCCGCAGCCTGCACTGACAGGGTGCTCCTCACAGGCAAAAAGAAAAATACTTCTGAGGAGCACAGGCGTTTCAAAAGAAAATATCTATCAGGAAAATTATCAGAACGCATTGATCAACAATTCAAAATTAGCCTAACAAAAGATAAGGGAGAATTTAGCAATAGGAAACAAGAAAATATAAAAATGGAGAGCTATAAGATATGAAAAATAAAATTGTTCCAGTGACTTATTGCTACCTAAAAATTACCCCAAAACATAGCAGCTTAAAAGAGCAATTAACAAAAACATTACTTTGCTCACACACCTTGAAGCTGAGTAAAGCTTACCTCTATTTCACAGGGTGTCAGTAGGGGTCATCAGATTTGCTTCCAGGACAACACACACGTGACCAGCTAGTCGTGCTGGCTGTGGTCAAAGAGTTCAGCAGGGCTGTGGAGCAGAGCTCTGGTCCTCTGCACGTGGACCTGTCCATGGGCTGCATGGTTCCTCGTGGTGCAGGGGCTGCAGTCCCTGGGTAAGCGCCCCGAGAAGCAGGGAGTAGACGCTGAGAGTTTCTCTAGGCCTAGGCCTGGAAACAGGCACGACATCACTTCTGCGCACTTTACTGGCCAAGCAGTTACAAAGTTTAGATTCAAGAAGTGGCGGGAAGGCGTAGAGCCCATCTCTGGGTGGGAGACGAATCAAAGCAATATGGAACCGGGTGTGAAAATTACTGCAATCATATGTGAAACAAAGAACACAGTAGGTGATCTGATGGCAGAAAGCTCTACTTGAGAATGAATTATAAAGTTGGAAAGGCCAAATTAAGGAATTCTCCAAAAAGAAAAAAGAGAAAATAGAAAAGAGATATGGAGGACAGAAGTAGAAGTTCTAACAGCACAATAGAAATCCCAGCAAGACAGTGAAATGAAAACAGAAAGAACCACATGAACGAACCTTGAAAATATTATACTCAGTGTAAGAAACCAGATGCAAAAAGGACCATTGTATGATTCCACCTGTAGGAAGTACCCAGAATAGGAAAGTCCAGAGAGACAGGAAGTAGACTGATGATTAGGGGGACCCAGGGGAGGGGGAGTAACTGCTTAATGGGCACAGGGCTTCCTTTTAGGGTGATTAAAACGTTGTGGAACTAGGGGTTCCACACCTCATGGTTACCCACCACTGTGACTGTAGTAAATGCTACTGACTTATTCACTCTAAAACGGCTAATTTTATGTTATTAACCATTATTATGTTATTATGTAACCATTATTACGTTATTATGGTATGTTAGTTTTATTTCAATAAAAAGAAATTTCTAGAACTAAATACACCGTCACAGTAGAAACTTTCAACACAACTGTCATGGTTCCAAATAAGTCAAGAAAGAACCCAGCAAGGATAGGAAAGATTTTAACAACACAGTTAATGAGCTTGACCTAGAGGACAGGTATATA